GTGCCCGTGGTGCACACACATTTGGCGAGGACTGCAGGCGCATATGGGCTCTTCTCTTCAGCAGTCGCAGTGGCACTGCTCATGATATCAGCTGGAACTGCTGCACAGTCCGTGATGGTGTCACCATCCTTGACCTTGCCATACTGGCAGTACTCCAGACCTGTTTTCAGGCTTTTGTACTTCAGATAGGCTGGCCGCAATGGATTCTCGGCGGGGGGGAACTTCTGGTTCTCACACATATTGATGCTGGTGGCCACTTCCAGCCCCAAGGGGGCGAGAGCAAACCAACCCAAGAAGGCGAGGAAGAAGGAGAAAACGCTTCCCCAGAACGCTCGCATGTGTGGATTCTGCTGAACAGTTCCACAAATCCGGAGCAGGGGCAGCTCCGTTGCCTTGTTGGATTCATCCACCTTCAACTTGAAGTCCGCCATGCTTACGATTTCCCAGGGAGTTCTTCTAGAGTCACTAGAGCCTGAAAGTTCTGCAGAGCTGTCATAAGTCAAAAAACGATATAAGGACAGCCTTATAGGCCCCCACTCTGTAACAGTTGGAAATCACTCATCATATAGTTATATACAGCCCCCCCTAAGATAGACTGTTACAGTGTAGGGGCAGTACCCTGAACCCTAAAGTCATATGGAGCCCCCGGGTTACAAGTATAGTTACCTTAATTATAACCCTACTTACTAAGTCCCATGATCCTTTAAGTATGGAGCCTCCTTGGAGCTCCTCCAGAACAAGGCTTCGTCCGTGCCGTCCTCATCCGCCAAGTCCGCAACGAAGGCCGGCTCCTACTCTTCGGATGAAGTGGTTCCTATGAGGGATTCGGTTTTTGTAAGGGTTTAAGGGTTTAGGGTTTAGGGTTTAGGGTTTAGGGTTTAGCAGAAGTAGCTAAGGGTCTCCACGAGAGCTTCGGCGATTCAGGGTTCCCTATCAAGGCTTAAGAATGGATGCCCAGGAGCCTGTGTCAAAGCTGGACACTTGTGGTAGCCAAGGCTACCTTTCCGGAGCACTGTACTTGCAACATCTTCGAGCCCCAAACACAGACCAACTTCACGACTCCTCTGACTCTTCAATCCTGGTAGAACTCCAACCCGTTCATGCTTCATGCTACTGAGCATACTACCCCTACTAAGAAGAGGTGCTGAGACAAGCCGTGCGATTCAAATTCCTCCATCCACATTGCACGACAGGACACTCTTATGCATCAAACCCGGAAACCAAACCCACAAAGCTATCAGCCGATGCCATGGATCCCTACAGCCACACCCTGAAAGCCCTCTACCCTCTGCAACAGTCCGGCAAGTTGGCCCAGCCCTCGACTTCGCAAAGCTTGAAGACCTTATCCGGGCCAAAGGTAACTACGGGTGGTTTCCACTACTCCACTCACCATCACCGTCACCATCACCATCGCCATCATCATGATCATCATCGTCATCGTCATGACCACACTGCTAGTGTATCCACTTTTCCTGCGCACAAGCATCAGCATCACCCTCGTTGAAATCGGGATCATCAGCATCACCGCCACCATCTGTTTACTCATGATCTTGGTTATCTCCACGTTGATGTTGAAGAACTTGATGAAGCTCGGGATACATCGGTGAGCGCGCTGTCAGAGATTCGGGCAGCAGCACTGTCAGACTCACTACACCAGCCGGTAAAGCCCATCCTTGTGAGGCAAAACATCAACGATCCTGCTAGCCGTCATAATGATGGGTGGTTGTCAAAATTATGGTCCCTTGTTGGGTCCTTATTATAATACGGCACCTATTATCCAGGGTACCCAAAAACGGACCATAATTTTGACAACTACCCTGATAAGCCGGGCACCGCCAGGGAGGCGAGCCGATGGTCCAAGTGCTTCAAGTTGAACTCGAAGGCAAAGCTTTCGGGCTGGACGAACGGAAACCTTTCAGACTTCTCCGGTGGGTAGCAGCGGTGGAGAGAAGGACGGGATAATCAAGAGGAAAAAGGGCCAGAGGGTTCTGGTTCTCATCTCCGAAAAAATTTCGGGATGCTCGCTAATAGCTCAACTGTATAGGGATGATCAAGGAACCAGTGCTAGGCCATTGTTGCTACTCGAAGGCCTCGCCCCTAGTGCAACTTGATCGTCCAGTTTATACGGATATGGTACCCCGAAAACGAAAGCCCTTACAGGTAGCTCGCTCAAATCGTAGGCGAACGCTTGAGAATTGGGTCGACTCCACAGGGGCTGGGACCTAGGCGTTCAGGGAGTCAGTTGCTTGTTCTGATGTACGGTGTGTAGGGTTTAGGGTTTAGGGTGCAAGGTAGAGAGCTTTGAAGGAGCAGATAGATTAGATAGATTCATGGAAGCATTAGGGAGATGCCATGTCAAGGGAGGGGCCGCAAACCATGCAACTACACACTCGCCTTCCACAAAGGAGCAAACAGCCCGAGTCGGTATCGGTGTCAGGATTTGTCGGATTTACATTCATCGTCGCGCACAAGACAAGGCCTTTCTCATTCGAGCCGAGGAGCATCATGCATTGGTTGAACCTGCCCGGGCTTAGCTGGTTGACATCTTCAGCTGGAAAATGCTACGGGCAATAACGAGTAATAAGAATAGTAATCATAACCATAATAATCACAACAATAATAATCATCGTCATAATGCTTCAGAGCCCGGTGGTTGAAGTCGACAAACCCCAAACCCCAATGAGACTGTCCTGCTCATACAAGTTAGCCCTGTAGGGTTTTAATCAATACGACTCAGATCTTGAGCGTTTTGGCTTTGGGCCCTGAGTGTCAAGCTCAAACACCAGTCTGAAAACCAATGCCCACGACCCCAAACTCACAAACATGGCTTCGGGAGATTAGGGTTTAGGGTCCCCACCAACAAAACAGGCCTCTCCAGCTTGCAGAAGTTGCAGCTCTCGTCGAGAACATCGCGTGCCAGAGTTTGGTTTTGGATGTCGACGATCCTCCGGTGAGGAAGAAGGAAGGGTTTTCAGGGTTTAGTACATGATAGAATACTTGCCACAATACTCATGTAACCATGTAACCTTAAGGCGGATAATATGTCTACAGATATCAGGTCCCCCATATTACACTAATTCTCCTGCGGCATTGCCTAAGACTCCAATACCACCGGGAACTGGGCCGAACACTCGAAACTCCGAAACCGGAAGCTTAAACGCATTCTTTCAGCCCTGAAAGGAACCCATATATAGTATCCTTCATAGAAACCCAGCCCTCAAAGAAACCCTTAAACCCTTAAGGTGCTGCCTGAGGTAGAGCAGCTCGAAGAGCTTCAGCCGTGCATTTGGCGTCTCCAGAAGCAGGAGCAATGTACGAAGCTGCAGGCTGCTGAGGAAGAGCTCATGAGAGACCTCTCGACTGGACCGACAGCACAGGGAATCTTGGGTCCTGGGGGTCGAGTCTTGTTCCAGAGGTAGCGGTCGATCTCGGTGGGGTTTGATCGGTTTTGCGGTTCGAGGCCCTATCGGTTTAGGGTGTGGGAGTTGCAGGGAAACGGGGGTGGGAGATGCCCTACTTTGGGCTTTAGGGTCTGAGGGTTTAGGGATCAAGCTGAATCGGTTGCAAGCCGTCTCTGGGTTAAACTACTAAACCTATTTACCAACCGACCTGACACATTGAAGGGAACCCTTTGTGTAGGGGCCTTTATAATTAGAATAGGGTTTAGGGGGGGTTCCTTTTGAGGGATACTATAAGGGTTTAGGGTGTAGTGGCCTTTAGAATAGGGTTTTGGGGTATATTCTACTAAAGTACAATATGGAACCCCAAAATAGTACTGGTATTCATTTGGGCTGCTACATTAACCCTGAATCAGGTTTTCTTGCAAAACTGGGCTTTGAAGTAACCAGGGAGAAAAAAGTATAGACTTTTATTCATAATGGTTCCTTTAAGGATCAGGTCCCCCAAAAAAGCATTAACGTATGGTACTCCAAAGCCCAGAAAAGGTGCGTCTTACGGCCTAGGCGAGCCGGTGCAGGGCTGAAAGGGCTGAACTGCAGATTCGGGCGTGAGGCTTCTTTTCAGGTTGGGTTTAGGGTTTAGTGTTTAGGGTTTAGGGTTTGGGGTTTAGGGTTTGACTGTGCTACCCTAAACCCTAAACACCTAAACCCCTAAACCCCTGAACCCTAAACTCCAAACCCTAAAACTTGCATGGAGCTCTCGTTACTGGGATCGGATTTGTCCACCAAACATCCCGAAGTAGGAAAGGCACGTAGACTTCCGTGGCCGAAACCCTAGATAACCCTAAAACCCCCAAGGCCCCTAAAGCGTCAAACAAGCCGCTCCTATGCTAAACTGGAAACTGGCCTGAACTAAATCCGACAGCGAAATCAAACCCTAATATGGGGAACCTTGACAGTTAGAATAGGGTTATGGGGCCCATTATACTATAGTTAAAAGAGGGAACCCCCCAACATAGTACTGGTAACTATTATTAAACTCTTAAGCTTCAAAGCTCTCAATGCTAACACACTCCAGAAGAGACGCCGGAACAAGAGCCGCGACTTTCTGTTCCTCGGTCAGGCTGCAGAGATGGAGTGCCTCGGCTCAAGGGACTAAAGGAGGGACCCTTGCGGTTATATAGGGGCTTTATGAGACTTTATAAAGGGCTATATATACGGGATATATATAGGGTATTTAGATTAGGGGTCCCTTCTTAGTCAGGGGTCCCTCCTATTGTCCCTTAATCAGCTTGCCAAGCCAAATCTTACCATACACTTTTTGAGTTTGTCGAGGCATCTAAGGTGTTGGATCTTGCCGTTTTGGGTCATGGCTTAGATTCCCTACATTTGCAGGTGTGGGGGGTCTTGGAGCACAGTAAAGTCAGTAAAACGAACAGTAAAACGAACAGTTAGTGTAGGCTTGCGGTACAAAGCCTGTTTCTGAAGCCCCCAGAAGCCTACAAGTACAACCGAAGTTGTTAGGCCCCAGGTTCAGAATCCGAATCCCGCAAAACTCGGAACCCCACACTCCCCAAGCCCTTGCTGTACAACCATCCAGAGCAGCAACTTCTTCAGCGTCGTGGTCAACAAACCCCACCAAGGCTGCCACCCAGACAAGAAGCAAAAGAAATAAGGCTCTGTTAGGACTGTCCGTGAGAGTGAGACGGCCAAGATGCAGTTGTGGACGAGACTTTCGGTACACTGACATATGCTGCTGCTGGACCTGACGTCCTGCACCCTAAAACCTAACCCGCCTAAGCAGTATTTTCTGAAGCAGTTGACGCCCCCCAACCCCATGTGCATAAGCACTTGAACTTTCTGTTCTTATTCTTAAGCCTAAACGCACAGACCGGGCCCTGTGGTGGTTCAGGAACACAACATGAAGAAGGTTATGCTCAAAATCTAATTCCGAACACAGTTCCTGAATCCAGCCCTCTATACTCTATACCCCAAAAGCCTAAACCACAGAAGCTGAATCCCATAAAGTTTCCTACAGCCTGATACCTGCAAACAGGCAACATCCCAAAAGTGAAAAAGACAAACCCTACACCCTAAACCCTAAACCAACACAAATCCGAACCTGCCTGGCAGAGGTTTCTGAAGCTTGGCGCAGCCACGGCCGAGTCCTCAAGAAGAGTAACTATTCTTGGTTTCTATGTTTTCACTTGGTGGTAAATTTTGTTGTTGTTGTTGTTGTTGT